TGGCCTCCTACTGCAGCTGCTGTACCAGATGTGGTGTCATTGCCTAAGAAAACTAATACAGTCCCTCGTTTGTACTACTGTGGCTGCCTCTTCTCCAGCGCTGTCCCTAAGGCCTCCGGACAGTTTGCTCAGCTGGAAAGGCCAGCAATCACCTCCATTGCTCCACCTCAGGCCCACAGCTCTACAGGCCTGAGGCACAATGCAGTGTGCAGGGATCTGATCGCCTTTCCTTCCACACCCATCACCCAGGCGCATTATATAAACAGCACCGTGCTGACTGAACCTGGTGAGCAAGAAGTAGCAACCGCTCTAGATGTGTGGGTAATCCATCTGTGTGTCAGAGGTGGGGAAAGAAATCCAACCAACTCCAGGGCCGTCTACCTCAGTGATGTCTAGGGGTCAGGGTCTGGGCACCCTGAGACAGCCCTCCCGGGAGAAGGATATGTTGTTGCACCTGACCCTCCTACCACCAAAACTAACCCACATGCCGAGTGGTCTCTTTGGATCTTGGAGGTAACATTCCTCACTTGGGTGTGTTCCTTGGGGCCTTTACCATGTGGCCAGCAAGGCTGCGAGTTGCTGCGAGTGGGGCCAACACAAGAGGACGCTCTGCGACGGGCCAGGCTGTGCTCTGCCCTTGGGCCACATGAGCCAGCAGACACCCCCCCCCACCCCCCCACCCCGTGCTTGGAGTGTCACGGCAGACCTGGGTGCCGTGTGGAGCCTTGGACAGCACCAATGGGTGAAGCCCGTAGGATTCTGGAGGAAAGCCCTCTGTGCTGTGTGGATAACTACCCTCCATTTAAGAAACAGCTCTTGCAGCCCCTGGGCCTCCGCAGAGACTGAACACTTGCCCATGGGCTTCCCAGCGACCTAGCTGCTCAGCGTGAACAGGATGTCATCTGATCCACCAGGCACATAGCTGGGCATGCATGGCAGCCCTCTGCCCTCAAACGGAAGTGGCACATGTGTCATGAGGCCTGAACAGGCCTAAAGGCACAAGTGAGCTATGGGAGGAACTGGCCCAAATGCCCATGGTCTCCATCCCTCTCTCCCGCATGCACCCTGCCCTCGTGGGGAGGGCCCCAAAGTGAGCTGCCAGCGGAGAAGACTTGAGCCTGGTTCCGTGCAGGCAGCACAGGAAGGCATTGTTTCTAAGGACACCTCTGAGGGGCAGCGCTGAGGAAATCCCCCAGGGGGTGGGACCTCGAGCAGTGCACCTGGTCGTTCCTTTGCTTGGAAGGAGACATGGCCAGACGTGTGACTATATGCTGATTCATGGCTGCGGCCAATAGGTTGGCTGGATGGTCAGGATCTTGGAAAGAACGTGACTGGAAAATTGGTAACAAAGGGCAGACTTGTGATGGTTAATTTTATATGTCAATGTGATGGGGCTGCAGGGTACCCAGATATTTGATCAATTTCTGAGTCTGCCTGCAAGGGTGTTTCTAAAAGATCCACGTTTGTGCCCTGACTGGTTTGGCTCAGTGGATAGAGCGTCAGCCTGCGGAATGAAGGGTCCCGGGTTTGATTCCAGTCAAGGGCATGTGCCTTGGTTGCGGGCACATCCCTGGTGCGGGGTGTGCAGGAGGCAGCTGATCGATGTTCCTCTCTCATCGATGTTTCTAACTCTCTATCCTTCTCCCTTCCTCTCTGCAAAAAATCAATAAAATATATATTTTTTTTTAAAATAAAAATAAAAGATCCACGTTTGCACTGGTAGCCTGAGGACAGCAGGCTGCCCTCCCCATTTGGTGGCCCGCCCAATCTGTGGAAGGCCTGAACAGACCAAGAGGCCGAGGAACAGGAACTCTTTCTTTCTGCCTATCTTCCCGCTCAGATACTGGTCTTCTCTGGCCTTCAGACTCAGACTAAAACTGACTCCACCAGCTTCCCTGGTTCTCAGGCCTTCCAACCGGACTGGAACACCATCAGCTCTCCTGCGTCTGCTTCACAACAGTGTGGCCTTGTTAATGGGTATCATTTCCGAGAAGCCAAGCAGCAAGCATCTCAGACTGACAGCTCTTCAGCCTCAAGACAACCTGAGGGACTAGTGAGCATTCCTTCGGATGTCAGACACAGCTTACAGAAAGCGCTAAGTTCAGAAGACAAAGACGAGTGGGAAGCTTCAGGAGATTCACTACATGTGACAGAGGACACAGATCGAGCAAAGAATCAAAGTAGAAGGAAGACCAGGGTCATAAAAGCCTCCAGAGCGAGCCCCAAGGCTGGCAGCCAGGCCGCCTAGACTGTCCCCAGAACGATTTAGAAACAATACCATCATTTAAATGCTTCTTCCTCTTGCTCCCCAACTTTCAGCTCATATGTTTACTGTACATTAACGTCCTTTTGTCTTATGTAGTGTAATCCTTCAGTGTATGTTTACTGGGCAACCACTCTGTGGAAAGCACTGTCCTAAGCCCTGGTTTAAAAACAAAATTACATGCCTGAGCTTACACCCTTACATCATAATGAGAAAGACAACCCATACAAACAAATATCACTTCCAAGGTGAAGGCCTCTTGTACCAAATATAGGGCACGTCATGTGTTGATAGCTCTTACCTTGTCCATAAACAGAACAAGGAAATAGCCCTGATTTAGAGTAAATGAAGGCCATTAGTACAGCATGCCATTTCTACGAATAAAACTGAAAACAAAGGTAAATGCACTTGTCACACCGGTCAGCCCAGCCTTAGCCACCTCACTGCCGGTGAAAACCCGGAGCCCAGCACTCAGGAAGGCAAGCACATGGCACCCACGGTCTCACAGGAAAGCGGCCCAGAGGGAAGCATGCCAGTCTTCCCCAAACATGTTGGACAACACACACGAGAACCACCTGTGGATTATATGTGGCTACCAAGGTGTTTGTTCATCACAAATAGCTCTGTCATCTAAAGACAACTCCAGGAACCGTAGCCATGACCTTCCAGGCTGCTTCCTGCCTTTCAGAGTAACAGGTGACTTTTCAGACTTACTTTCTGTGTCCATTTCAGTAAACACCTTATTTTCCTTATTTGAGTTTTTCAATTGCTAACCAATTGAAAAATAGAGTAATTTTTTATTCACTTAATAATTAGTCCTAACCTTACTGAATTCATCTGATCCTCAGAGTGTCAACAACTCCATTATTTCCAGTTTCAAGCATGACAGTGACCACAAGGCCAGATTAAAATATGCAATTAGAATGAATTTTAAAATGCTTACGTCAAAAAACAGCTTAAGAATTATTTAAGGACAATTGGGAGGAAAATGTTTGCAATTAACCTGATAGACAACTAATTACTTAAAATAAAAACACTGCAAAAATAAGCAAAGAGAACACAGGTAGGCAATTTACTAAAAAATATGAATAACCTATAAGTGTGCCTTGTAAATGTCCACCTGCACTAGTAACTAAGGAAATAGAAATTTAAGGGGAAATGTTTCCTCTATTCAATTGGTAGGTTTGTTTTCACTAACAACCAAACTTGGTAAAGACACACTCTGGGAACACAGACGCTTGCATACTGGCCAGGATGAAGCCGCCTGAAAAATTCATACAGTTTTTTCTGAAGAATAAAGGGGAAAGCTCTTTTTAAAAACTTATAAAGTATGCTTACCTGGAAAGTGAATTGCATAAATTTAAAGGCAAATATTTATTTATAAGGTGACAAGTGTAGCTTTCTAATTAAAAACCTGGAAGAACCATGATCATAATGGCTCTAAGTGACACTGCAGCCATGGAGGGGAAGGACACCAAGCAGCAGCGAGCACAGCAGGGCCCTCGTCAGTGCTGTGCTGCAGCCAGTGTCCGCAGTACTTTCCACCACATAGGATTGTGAAGAAGAGTGATTTTCTTCCCTATAAATGTTGTTTTCCAAATGTTCTACAGCAAACATGTATTTCTTTAAACACATACAAAGGAGTAAGAGAAAAGGTATATGTATAAACTCCAGGTGAATTAAACAGTTAAATGCAAACAAAACCATTTTTTAAAATTTTTTTAATCCTCACTGAGGATATATTTATTGATTTGAGGGGGGCGGGGGGAGAGAAACATCAATGTGAGAGAGAAATATCAATCAATTGCCTCCTGTACACAACCCAATCGGGACTCAAACCCACAACCCTTTAGCTGTACAGGACAACACTCCAACAGAGAAAAAGGAAGTATCTGTCACATCTTAGGAAGCGAAGGGATCTTCTAAACACAAAAACCATTAGAGAAACCAAAGGAAGAAAAAGACTGTACAACATAAAAATGTAAAACTTATATAAATCAAAAAAACAAAATTCAAAAGCGAAATAACAACTAGAAAAACATATCTATAAAAATCGGATAAAAAGCTGTGTTTGACACATAAAGAGATCACATAGTTCAATATAGAAAAAAAGGAGGAGCAGGGACTATGCGACATAAAAATATACACATTAGACCTTTTTAGATAGACAGTATATGATAAATTAAAATGCCCTACCTCACTAAAAATTTCTAGAAAATGGCAGAGCTAAGATTAGAATGCAGATCTCTTTGGCTTTAAAGTAATATACCATGTTGCCTATGATAACTCACTATTTTATTAAAAACCACATCAACTTTAAAGTTTGTACTTGATAAAAGAGTTTCCCCCTTCTACCACACGTTTTGAAATGGCTAGAGAAACAGCAAATAAATACAATGGAAACTTGGCTCCTTTTTCAGGTTTTCAATGGAGGTTGAGTTCTTCTGGCATGTTCAGATAAAACAAAAATTCTCTTGCTAAATATTTAAATTAAAATGTATTTATCAGAATCCTGGTCAGTATAAAAACTACTCCTTGAGTAAGTAAAACAGAGAAGCCTTTCACAACTAACAGGAAAAGGGAGGTGAATAAAATCTGGTTTTCTGATTTTATTAAGGACTCAAGTGATTTATCAAAGAAAGATGCAAATTATGAAGAAACTATGAAAAGGAAAACCTAAAAATACAGTGCAGTACAAAATTAAAACATTAATGGTGATGAAGCCACACATACTAACCATGGATCAGGGAGCCATTGAGCCACTGAATATAGTAGTTGTGAGGAAAGGAAAGTAGGATTTCGTTGCTGATGATGGAGAAGGGTAAGAGCAGCACGGCCCCAGCGGACACTGCGAGTGTGAACGTGCACAGAAACAACCTGGAAGAGAAGAGAGGCGTGTCACCAGCGACCGGGAAGCAGGGGATGCGACCATCATTCAAAACGAATAAAAATTCTGAAATTTTTATCTAAAAAAAATTATGGGAGAATTTCATGAAATCTATGCAACTGGAAGACAAATGACACATGCGTGATCCTAAGAGTTAAGCTACATCAACTCTAGAGCACCTCGCTCTGCAGAGATTGGTGGATCTAACGAGGAGGCCCCAGAGGACACATGTACCGAAGGCAGAGGCCTCACACACTCGCAGAGAATGAGCTGTAGGCTCTCTCCTCCTTTAAATGTGATGTTCATTTCACATTGCATTTGATTAATAGCTTTGGCAATCTATGCTAAAAGCAAGGCAACAACTATTTTAGGTGAAAAAATACCTGTGAACACAGTATGAAAAACTCATATTTCAGGAGCAAACTTACAAAGCCACGGGTCTGCTATCCCTTAAGATGGGTAAAGTGTAAATAAATTGTACTAATCAACAGTAGGGATCATTAGACAGTATTTAAAACACTATTCTGTCATTTTAAAAAATAACTCTAATATGTACTAATTTAGAAAGGTGTCTAAAACAAGTCAGGAACACAATTGAAGGAGAGACAGATGATAAATAGCAAGCATGCCCTCCCCGCAGAAAAGCTCACAAATACACAGGACAGTAGAGGTGGAGACCCCGCACAGAGCAGGACGAAGCCCAGGGAGGGCGGGTCTCAAGGGGCTCACCTGCAGCCCCACATCTGCAACGTTTAAATTTTTATAGCTATTTTTTAAGATTTTTTTTAAATAGCAAAGAAAACAGGAGTCTCACCAACATTAGAGAGGGAAACTTAATTTAATAGTCATCCCATTAAAGAAAATATAGGAAGAATGTGAAAATGTAAGGAAAACCATCACACAAATGCTCTAAATCAGGGGTCCTCAAACTTTTTAAACAGGGGCCAGTTCACTGTCCCTCAGACCGTTGGAGGGCCGGACTATAGTTTAAAAAAAACAACTATGAACAAATTCCTATGCGCACTGCACATATCATATTTTGAAGTAAAAAAACAAAACGGGAACAAATACAATATTTGTATTTGCATGTGGCCCGCGGGCCGTAGTTTGAGGACCCCTGCTCTAAATCCACATCTGATGGAGTAACTTTGCAGCAATGCCACCTTGTGGTGGCCCACAGAAGTATTTCCTGCTTTGAGCCAACCCACCAGGAACCTGTTCAGTGTCACTGATGGATTTACATGAGACCACGTGACCCACACCAAAACACAATCCAAACCAGGCCCAGGAGACGACCTTGAAGGCTCTGCTAACGGGACGTGTCTCCTGGTCAGAGCAGGAGCACAAGCCTCGCCGGGCCACTGCCCACTGCAGCAGTGATGGCGAATGGCCTTGAGCGAGGGAAGTCGGTCTTGTCCTCCAGCCGGTGAGGAAGTGTCTTTTTGGCTTCCATCACCTCCTTCCAAAGCTAGAAATGAAATCAACCCTCAGCCGGTCACACCAGGTGCTGCACAGCCACCAAGGCTTTTCCACACCCTCTCCGCCACCACAGTCCCACAGTCAGTCACCTAACCTCCTTGTGCCCCATACGTGAGTGGGTTCTGGGGCTCCAGGCCAGGGCCACCGTTGGCTCTGTCCCCAGGGTCGCCCTATACATCCCTCAGCATTTCCCTTCCCCCTCTCTTGGCTCCCATGACACTCGGACCACAGACCCAGCAATAAAGGCCAGCCACAATTTCCATATCAAAGCCTGACCTGTCAAAGCTTCCGCAGGGAAAACAAAAAAGTATTTGAAGTCACAGAGCCCCAGGAAACCCTGATCACATGGGCACCGTGACTGGACCGCAGCTCTTACCAAGACTGTAGCCCACCACATTTCCAATGCTGGGGTTGGCCCTGGAGACACAAAAAAGACCACAGCATACTCCCTAACTGCCCTGGGGAGCTGGGAGGAGGGCTGCCCCTGAGAAGCTGATGGGGACCCGCCGGTGTGGCTCAGTGGTTGAGCATCAACCTATGAGCCAGGAAATCATGGTTCGATTCCCAGTCAGGACACATGCCCAGGCTGCAGGCTCGATCCCCACTGTCAGACAATCAATGATGCTCTCTCATCATTAATGTTTTCTCTCTCTCTCCCTCTCCCTTCCTCTGAAATCAATTTTTAAAAATATATTTTTTTAAAAGGTGCTGGCGTGGGGTCCCTAAGGTGAGGGCCTGCCATGTAGCCAGAGTGGTGGCTGCTTATGGAACTGCAGGAAAGTGCCCTCGGAAGTGATGGACGGTTTCAGAAACGCCCCTTCTGGGGGAGGAAACCAAGATGGCGGCATAGGTAAACACCGGAGTTTGCTGCCTCAAACAACCACTTCAAAAATACAACTAAAAGACCGAACGGACATCATCCAGAACCACAGGAAGGCTGGCTGAGGGGAAGTTCTACAACTAGGAGGAAAGAGAAAGCATACTGAGACTCGGAGGAGGCGCAGTGCGGAAGTAAAATACTAAGGTGTGGAGTGCATGCGGAGCGGGCTGGCGGCTGAGGGCGCAGTTGTCGTTTTCAATTGGGAGGGAGTCTCAGGCTCTGAGCTCCAGTTCCAGGCGAGTCTCTGGGGACCCAGACTCATACAGGAGAAGCAGGACTGTCTGGCATCGGTTGGAAAACGGGGGCAGCTTTCTCTCCGAGGTTTGCAGCGGTTGCTGGGACTCTGAGAGGCAGAGCCTCTGGGGACGGGACTGAGAGCAGCCATAACTGCTCCCTCCACCTGCTCCTGAGACCAC